GCAGGCCAGTCTTAGAGGGAAGGTTCTGAAATTGAAACCAGTAGGATTTAATTTTAAAATATGCTATCCTATTTTCACTTATACAGATTTATTCCCTGTCAGTATTCCCGTACAATTATGGGTGTTTATAATATGATAGCCCAAACTGAAAGCTATGGTAGACTGAACAGAACCATTTTACTAATCTTCATGTAAAAATACTCCATGAGTTGTTTTTGATGAAAAACAGACTAAACTAATAAACTGAGACAATAGTAGATTATTGTATACATATCTCATTTTATAAGATATTAGATGTACCAAATACATGAAACACCTTCTGAAAGCCTAGAAAGTAGGAAAGATTTTTAAATTTATTTTTAACTTTTGTTTATAAATCCATTTTACTTAAACTTATGGAATACTCATTCAGTGCTAACATTATTGTGCAGAATCAAAAAATAGGTAGCATTTCTGCCCAATATTTATGCTTTTTTCTTTTGTTTCTACTTGCTATTAATATCATTTGTCCAAAAATATTTCTGATTTGCCATATCTCTAGTATTTATAAAAAGGAAAGATATTTACATCTGAACTTTGTGTCTTTTCTTTTACCCAAGAGAGAACACAAATAACTACCAAGGGTTTTAAACTAGTGATAGAGTGGCTGCCTATGAGAACTAACAACTTCTTTTGTACAGATTTGATATGAAACTGTTATAGAAATTCCAGTGGTACAGTCCCTTCCTAGACTGTCAGATTGTACAAACTGACTTCACTTAGCTCTACTTCTTATCTTGTTTTCCTAGACTCAGAATATTCCATCCCAGCTGACTAATTCTTCTTGGTACTCGTCGAGTGGTTTCAACTTCTCAATTTATAGGTCACAAGGAAGACCTAATAATACTAATAGCAAAAACTTGTTCACATTTACTATGCACTCATTTTGTGCCTTACAGTGTTCTAAATACTTTATGTGCACTTAGTCATTTCCTCATCAAAATAACCCTATATTATTATTCTCATTTTATAGATGACAGAACTGAGCTAGAGAATGTATGTTAATAAAGGTCATGTCAGAAAAACAGAATACTCTTTAAATATTTAAGTCAAGAGATACTTAACTCAAAGAATTATTTATATAGGTAATGGAAGAGCTGAGAAGCCAAATAGGGACAATGAATTAAACCAATTTAACAACAGCAAGAAATCATTAATCATTATGACTCTTAATTTGGAGGGATGATGTAAGGAGGCAAGATTTCCATAGCTTAGGGACTTGCCTTAACAAGAGGACCTGGAACCGGAGTATGCCAGTCTGCTGAGAACTGGAACCACCAAAAAGGTATAGATCCAAGGAGATGCTATCCAAGGGGAGAGAAAGAGAAATAGCCTAGCTCTCCGTTTCTCACACGCTCTAATACCCCACCTATACCTCTCATTGGACAAATTCATCCTGAAACCAGCTGACCTAAGAGCATGGGACATGTAGGGATAGTCCTTTCTGTGCTTCAGAACAAAGCAATAGAAGTACAAATTGGCAAGGATTATGCAGAAGGCTTAAGTAACTTGTGCTCAAGGTCACATCATGATATATATGTATTTTTTATTTTGTTTCTACTTGCTATTAACATCATTTGTCCAATATATATATATCATGTGCTCTGAATACAGGAGCTAGAGGTCTTGGGAAGTGATATTAGTCACTTTTTGATTATGTAGTTTTCTCTGTCCATAAATGTCAGAGGATTATTATTTCAGGGAAATGTGTCCCTACCACTACAGAAGGGGAAGGAAGTTAAGCAATGAGATAAAGTCTGGAAATCCTAAGCAATTTTCACTGTCAGAGCATATTCAAAGGGGAGAAAGTTTTTCATGTAAAAACTCTACTTGTATGCTGGCTCTTAGTTGATAAGTGTATCTTTTTCTCCATGTAAACATACTTTCAAAGTAGACCTTGCAAAGAAATAGTTCACATTAGACTAGATTCCTTTTTCAATTCACAGAAATATTTCCCGCAAAACAATTCCACTTTGAAATGTCAATATGAGCAGAAAATGTGTAGGTACTATCCTTTATGTATTAATGAATCTCTTACCAATCAATCTATGGACACGCTATCACTGAATGATACCGCTGTGACGTCATAGAAACCTCTTTGAATGATTGCTTACGATTCCCTTATTGGTGAAAATAAAATTATCCCAGAAAGTCAATACACCCAAATAAAGAAAATAATTCTGCTTGTTCTCAAAGTAGATTTAAGAACCACTCTTTGTAGTGAAAATTGTTGAAATCTACACTATGAATTGAATATTTTTCTCTTATTCTCTTAGTGTTACCAATAGGTATTGGCAATGTATTAGATGTTGGTGTCCAAAGTGGATTTTCAAACGTTTCTAAACAAAGAGAAATGAATAGTAAAGATCCAGTAGAATCCAGTTTCCTTGGTTCACATACAAGATGCAATGCCAAATACTGTTGGACCCATCATTTTGATCCAAAATAGCAAAATGGACTCTGTGTTAAAAACTAAATTTTAAATTTTATATGAAAACTACCAGTTTATTTGTTTGCCTGAGCATCAAGAATCCAGACTAATGCAGCAATAAGAGTTAGTAGATACTATCTTGAGGACATATAATTCCAAGAGCAATACATATTGAGTCTGACTCAACAGCAAAATTGACATTGGAACAAATTTTTTAAATAAGTTAGGAAATCTGGCAGTGGGTCTTATGTGAAGATTTATCTCAGATTCTCAAACTTCCATCCTTTATTCATTCTAACTGTATGCTTCCTAAAAAAGAATGCTTATAATGAAATTTTCTTTTAAGAGTTCTACAAAACAACCATTAAGATAAAAAAAAAAAGTAGGAAACCATCAGAAATAATCTGGGAATGATTGTTCAAAGTGGGCAAGTATGATTATCCTGTAAAGAGCTTTATTTCATGATTATCTATTAAGCACCGGTAAAATCATTTCTTTGTGGAACCAAAAAATTTAATTTGCAGGAATATTTATTGTCCAATTCTTAAAATCTTTTAACTTTAGTATCTGGCAATATCTTTTATTAACCATAGTACTAGATTTTTATGTTAAATTTAACTTTTTTCTTTTTTCTTTTTTTTTTTTAGGAGAGCAAGGCAGAGGCTTTTATTTAGAGAGAAAGCTAGAGGACAGAGCTCCTGGCTCAGGCCAGGAGGGGACAAGAGAGCCGCCTAAATTTAACTTTCTTAAATTCAAATGTCATGAAATGAACCAGATAATTTTTTTTAACATTTACAATATGGAGAAACATGAGGTTGATACATTGAAAGAACTTTGATTTATAAAAGAGGAAAAAGGAGCTGTGGTATGCTTTTTTTGTCAAACCATCCTCTTTGGGTCTCAGTATTCTCTAAAAAATTTGTGCATTGTATCAAAACTGTTGCATTATTCCTAAAATTGTGGGTTTCATCCATTTCACACCTTTTTAAATTCTAGCAAAGAATGTCTGTAAAATAAAAATTATAATTTGTCAAAATCAAATGAGCAAATAAGTATGAAGACTAAAGACAAAGATGTCAAAAGGTGGTTGAAGACATCTAAAGTGCAAAGATTTTGTAAAGTGCACAATTTGTTTCAAAGCTTTAACAGTAAACTGTCTTCCATGATAAATAAAACCAGATATTTCAATGATCATTTACTGAGCTTGTTGTTCTTGTCATCAGATTAAGAATTATGCCCAGATTTGCATATGCGTGTATTGTTTTTGCCACAACGTGCATGATGATTCCGCACCTTTCACCATTGTACCCTCACCTCCTATCCCTGGATTAGCTCTCAAAACTAGTTATTTTTGTGGCTGTAGATTGCTTTCTAAGTGTTAAGTTTTTCATAACTATTTCCTTACAACAGTCAAGGAGTTCGCTCAGGGTGGTTAGTTGGTAACTGTTTGGCAACTGTGATATTAGAATTATGTACTGCATAGGCAAGGATACTTTTGGAGTGTTGTATAGACCATATTTCAGTTATTATCAGATTTCGGGAAATAAACCTTATTTCTCCAGAGCCTAGAAGTAACTGGCCTATGTTTGAATGAATGAAAAAGAGGGAGAATGTCAATATTCATTTATATAATGTTTAGTTAAGAAGAAAAGTACGTTCCAGCATAAGGACTTCTGACAGCCTTTTGCTTAAATCACATCTGACTTTTCTCTTCGGCCAAGTTTATTGCTTGTAAAATTCCTAGAAAGGGAGAGGATCACAGACCTAGAAGGTAGACAGAGCTCGGAACCCAACGCAGTTGTGAGACGTTACGGGGCTTGGAGGAAATGTTTTGATTTGGAGGAGTTCGCAAAGCCAGCGATCCGACAAGTCCCGGGCACGGGGGGAATGCTGCCGAGCGGCCTCAGCCAGGAGCTTCGCGGAGCCAAGGGTAGGCGTCGCGCAACCTGCCGCAAGGGCAGCTCCGAGGCCGGGCCCGCGAGGCGCGCCCTCGCCCCACCCGAGAGCTCCGGGCCGGCGCGGGCTGGGCGGGGCCGGGCTCGGGGGCGGGGCTCCGGGGCAGCCCCACCCCCGCCCCGCCGGCCAGCGGGTCACAATGTAGGGTTAGGGCGGCCGGCGGGCGGGGCTCAGGGAGGAGGAGTCGCCCGGCGGGGCGGGGACAGCGATTGGGGGAGGGGAAGGGAGGAGCAGTCGCGGAGGGAGGAGGACAGCGCCATTCCGGCCGGCCGGCCGCTCCCTCCGTCCATCTCCCTTCCCCGCAGTGGCCGGGGAGCCGCCGGCGGAGCAGCGCGCGAGTGACGCGGCCCGGCCTGTTCGCGCCTCCCGCGCCACGGCTTCCGCCGCCGGCTCCTGGCCCGGGCCACCGCGGGCGAGCGGCGCTGAGGCTGGCCGCGCGAGGTCGTGGGTCCGCCGCCGTGGCCCTCGCAGCCCGCGTCTCGTTGCCAGCCCGCGGTGCCCGCGCACGCCGACCGCCATCGCCTTCGCGCCTGGCTGGCGGGGGCGCTGTCCTCCCCGGCCGTCCGCACCGCTCCCTGGGGATCGGCGGAGTGCGGCAGCCAGGGAGGGCGGAGGCGCGAGGAGCCGGACGCCGGCGCCGCGGGGGCCATGACCGTGGAGCAGAACGTGCTGCAGCAGAGCGCGGCGCAGAAGGTGAGGCGACCCCGCGAGCCGGCGCGGCGCGGCCCGGCTTCTCCCTCCGACGTGCTGCTCTCGCCCTCCTGGTCGGGCGGTCCCGGCCTTCCCCCTTCGCCGCGCGGCCTCCGCCGTCCCGGTCTCCTCCCCCGCTGCCCGGCGCCTTTGGGGGGCGTCGTGCCCAGTGCGGGCTGCGTGTGGGGAGCGGGGTGTAGTTAGCGGATTTCAGGCCACTTCCTTGCAGATTGTTTCCCTGTAGCAGTCAGTACTGGGTATTTATTGAGAGCGACCTTCACATTCCTACACTCTATACCGCTTCTTAATTAAACTTTATCCTTCTGCTTAAAAAAAAAAAAAAGAGCCAATTGTCATCCCTTCTGAGCAGTTTTTATTTCGAAGATAGCATTTCAGGACTGCTATTGTGTAAAAAAGGTGTCCACCAGAATTCAATTGCTTGCCTGGCAGGGCAGGTACATTTACTAGGTGGACTCTTGATTCCTTTTTCTTTATCTGTTTCTTTTTCTTTTCCTTTAGAAACTCTCCCTTAGGAAGGGAAGCTTTTCTGGTCATGTTTATTCCAGGAATCTTTTGTTCCCTAAGTTTGACCTTGTTCACCTTTTACTCTTGCATCAGTTTCACATTCAAATTGTCACTCATTTAAGTAAAAAAAAAAAATCTGTGTTGCGGAGCTTCAGATCTTTCATAGTGAATAGTGAGAGATGCTCCTTTTATTCTAGATATTGTTTTCAGAATCTCAGGTGCATTATGATGGCTCGCACCATATCCTGAAGAGTAGTTGACTATGGCTGTGTATATATATATTTGTCATTTGTGTGAAAAGCATTTCATGCAAAAGAGAAACATTGCTTTGGTCGTGTTGGAATTATGGGGATAACTAGGGTTTACTGTCGGGATCTGCTGAAGATGTGTTTGGTTTATCTGGGTGAGTAATGAATGCCCCACCCTGTTGTAGTTTGGGTAGTTATAGCCTACTTGTGCTTGATTTTGGAATAAGGCCTGTTATTCTAAAATGGACTACATATACTCTCAGCATGCTAAGTTTTTGCCTTGAGGTTATCTTTAGAATTTTATGATAGTAGTTGAGGTAATTGAAGAATTTTGGAAAGCAAGGATAGTGCATTGTTATTTTAGGCACTTTGACAAAGTTGTCTCTGGAACTCCTGTGTGTTATTAATTACTGGTAAATTTCGCAGATTATTGCAGATTGAAGTTTGTTTACAGTGAAATAGTTCTAGATTTAATAATGGGAGCTTAAAAAAGTTGGCCTTCTAATCCCCACTATTCAATTTTAAATACCTTATACTTTAGGTTTCGATGTTGAGTGATAAAGTATTAATACTTGGAACAGAATCTCGTGCTCATATACACACTAAGCAGTATTTAATACTTTTGTTATGATTTTTATAGTTCTTTTCAATGTGGAATGTCAAAGGCTATTTAAAAGTGGGAAACTTAGCTCATTTTTCACATTTCTTTAATTTGAACAAAGGCAAAAAGGTTTTTTTTAAATTGATTTTAACTAAACTTTAGCATAGTATCAAATTATACAGATCTGCGTGGATCAGAGGTTTATACATAAAAATGTAGAATCAAGAATCCAATTACTGAATGATCTTGGCCGTCAAGTCTCTCCTTGTTTACATAAAGGGAGTAGTTGTTAATCCAAAATAGTGTGTGTTAGATCATTTCTTTGATACTAGGGACATTTTTTTAGAGCAATATAATCCATTTATTTTTATACTTCTATCATAGTATTATGTTTTTCAAAAAGAAAGGCTTTATATGTTTCTGTGCTTTACACATTAATATGCCATTATTTGTTATTCGTGTTAGAACTATTTAAAAAAATATTTGTATGGTATAAATACTTTGAACCATTTGCTTCAAATAAATTGGTAGACTTTAATCTACCAAGCCAGTAACTAGGAAGTGAACTTGAGGCTAGTAACTAGGAAGTGAATTTCAATCTTTAGAGGAAACAAAAGTGAAACTTTTGTTTTCACTTACAAACCTAATGAATTATCAGTAAAAGGAGAGGTGCCTGGTGCATATTGCATAACAAAGATTTTAGTTTATTTTCTGTTCTCCTAAGACACATTGTGTCTATGCACACACACACACACACACACACACATATATAATGCAAATAGTTATATTTTAGCTTGAACAGTTTCTTATATTTTCAAGATTGTTTTTTCTTCCACAAAGATGTATGATTAGTAATCTTTTTTTTTTTAAAAAGAGCACAGCACAAAACTTTTATAGGCCTTTTGTTCACCTACGAAGTAACTTGTCACAGTATAATAAGAAGCAAGGAGCTGTGTTTTCCTCTGATGTGGTTTGTACTTGATTACTGAAGTTTGGCCAGCGCAGGAAGTTATGAGATATAAAATTGCAGAGAGTTGATTTTCTGAGGTTTAGATGATAGAGGTGAGGTGAAATTGGTGGCAGATAAGCTGCAATTAAATTCCTTTGTAATTTTGGTCTTGAATTTGTATCTTCAACCTCTGTGCTTGATACTTACCTTACTGTAGGATTTAGTAGGATTTCCATATATGGTAATGACTGATAAATTTAATTTTTAAAAATTTTCATCTGAGTTTCCATTTACTAGTGCTGTTTTCCCCATTCATTTTTGATGGATTGATTGAGTTTTCATTGTATCACCTCCCCCACCATTGCCTCTTAAATCCTCTAATGTGTTGGAAATACTTTCTCATTTCTGCTCTTTTATATTTAAGCAAATTTATCTAAACATGTATTTTTCTGATAGTATCAGAAATTAATAATGAGTTTTTTCCTCCTTCCCTTTGCCCCCGGTAAGACTTTTTTAGCATATTTTTATTTACAGCATTACTGATTTTGTTGGGATGATACAGAATTATAAGTAATGACACTTAAAATTTCTTAAGGTATACCTTATATCAGAAATATTATTTGTCTTAATTTATAGCTAATTAGTTTGTAAAAATTAAGTGTTTAATTTTAACTATATGTTTTTCGGTATAGAATAATACTATTTGATGTTACTCTACCTTTTCTTTTATAAATAAGTAAACTCTGTAAGCTCATAAGATTTCCTCTTTGGTTTCAGAATACAGAAATTTCGTGTGTGAGTTTGAGGGTGTGTGTGTATATATCATTTAACAGTCTTGCTTAGGATTTTTGATCTAAAAACTTTAGTATTCTTAGCACAAACATACGTATTTTAAAATTGTTGCTTCTACTGTATTTTTTCTCCTCAGTAATTACATTATTTTAATATTAGATAACTATTGCTTCAAATTTTTTTTTGACTTTTTAAAAATTTTGTTATCATTAATCTACAATTACATGAAGACCATTATGTTTACTAGGCTCTCCCCTACCCTGTCCCCCAACAAACCCATTACAGTCACTGTCCATCAGCATAGTAAGATGTTGTAGAATCATTACTTGTCTTCTCTGTGTTGCACAGCCCTCCCCTTTCCCCCACCCCCCACATTATACATGCTAATCATAATACCCCCTTTCTTCTTCCCCACCCTTATCCCTCTCTACCCTCCCATTCTCCCCAGTCTCTTTCCCTTTGGTAACTGTTAGTCCATTCTTGGGTTCTGTGATTTTGCTGCTGCTTTGTTCCTTCAGTTTTCCTTTTGTTCTTATACTCCACAGATGAGTGAAATCATTTGGTATTTGTCTTTCTCTGCTTGGCTTATTTCACTGAGCATAATACCTCTAGCTCCATCCATGTTGTTGCAAATGGTAGGATTTGTTTTCTTCTTACGGCTGAATAATATTCC